TCTGTGTGCCCTCTGACTGCCCGTGCCTGGCTCCTGCCCGGACAGGGCCTGAGCTGCAGTTCCTGCTGGGGACAGGGCATCTGTGCTCACCGTGTGGCTGAGACTGCTCCCAGGAGGGCTGGCTGGTGGATTCTTGGGCTCCGGGGCTGGGCTGGGCAGAGCTGCTCTGGGTCCTTGTCCAGGAGGCATGGGCCCTGGGCTCTCCCCGCTTTATATGGCCCGCAGGGTGCTTGCCGCTGTGCCGACTGCCTGCTGCGCATTCCTGACCCTGGGATTCCATTGGGGACGCCGGTGGTGAAGGGGGCAGTGCTGACTGCATTGATTAAAAAAAAACCTAACACAGGATGTGGTCTGATGAGAGGGCAGGCGGGCTGCCCTTTGGAGGAGAGCAGACAGCATCATTAACTGCAAATTGCGGGCACAGACCCTTGAGTCCCTTGGTGGGGGTTCCAAGCCCACCCTTCATCACCCTAAGGGTCCTGTCTTTGTTGGGTCGGCCTCTCACTCTCCAGAGAGGACATGGGGTGGGTGGACATCTACCCCCGACACACCTGCCCAGCTAGCAGGATGGCTCCCATGGGCAGGAAAGTCACAGAAACCCATGAGGCCCGTGTTTCAGAGGCACAGGACTGTGTGGCTAAGCCAGGTGCACCTCCCCGGCAGGTGGAGCCCTCGGCGGCATGTTCTCCAGGAACCAACCAAGGGGGCACCGCAGATGCCCCGGACGGCAGTGGAGCATTTGCCTGTGGCCCCCAGCCCCTCCTGCCCCGTGCCCTGGGCAGCCCCCGACTGTCGCTGAGGGTCACCTCTGGGAGGCCAGCGGGAGGACCCAGCCTCTGCTCCTTGCCCGGCAGAGATTCTCCCTCCACTGAAAGCAGGCAGGTGGGTGATGAGGCGGCCCCACCCCACCACTGTCGGAAACAGCACACAGGACCTCCCCCAGTCCAGGGGCCTTCACCCAGCTGACCTACCCGTGCATCTGGGGGGTCAGAAGTCATGGGAATAGAGAGCCTGTGGACACTTCCCCAGTGACCTGAGGAAGGCGTTGGAATCTCAACCCCCACTTCAGGGCTGAGCGCCCAGTTCGAGCAGAGGGTCTGTGGATTGAAGCTGGTGACTGAGCTGTGCTGGCCAGAACCGGCTTCCATCCCCCAGGCCGGGGCTGCCTCCGATGGCCTGAGGTGCCCCTGTCCTGTGTGTGTGTGTGTGTGTGTGT